AGCCACCGTGCCCGGCCTGAAATTTTCTTTTCAGTGAAAGTCCTGAATTTCTTTTGGTCTTTACTCCACTGTGACCTCTTTGATGAGCAGGTTTACCTTTAGTAAGGGAGCCTGGCCCAAGCCACTCAAAAGGCTTTGTTTCTCTTTTCTAGGCAGGACCAACAATCTCACAGATACTCCTTCAGGAGGTCACTTAAGAAAGACTTTGTTTACTTCTATTACATTTCTTTGAACTGAATTTATCTATGCCCCTGAAGTGAAGGAGGCGAATAAACTATTTCAATTTTTCAACTTCAAAATATTATTTTAAAAAACCCACCTTCAGATGATTTTTTTTTTTTTTTTAAAGAAATGGCGTCTTTCTCTGTTGCCCAGACTGGAGTGCAGTGGCTCAGTCATAGCTCACTGTAACCTCATACTCCTGGGCTCAAGGGCTCCTTCTGCCTCTACTTCCTGAGTGGCCACCACAGCTGGCCTTTCAGATGATTTTAAAACAATGTTTATTGTGTCTATTAATTTTAAACCCTAGGATGGGCTCCACCTAACAATCCTGTGTTGAAGAATTAGAACCTCAAGCCATGTTGCAATAAAAGTTCAAGCGTGAGAAGGACTTGGGGCTTTTCCTCAGGACACTGGATATGTCCTGGGAGCATGGTGGAAGCCTGAAGTCCCAAACCTCCACTCTCGCTTTCCCGGCACACCCCTCCGCAGGCCACCCCCAGCACGGTAAGGGCCCGGTCACCTCCGCAGCAGGGTCAGGATGTCTGTCATGCTGCGCACACGCTTCAGGAGACTGTCCAGCTTGTGTGGCTCCTCCTTCAGAAACCGCACGGCCTCCACTTCTATGCGCAGGATGGCTCGCATCTTGTTTTGTAAGGTTGGAAATTCTCCTGCAGGCCAAACCAGCAGGTGAATTGGAGGAGAAAAAGCCAGAACGACAACCCTCATCCCGCACTCCGATACTGGACAGAGAATTGCAGAGTTCACAAGCCACAGGGTGGCTCACACATCTTCAGGTGGCAGTGGGTTAAGAGCACAGAGGAGCATTGGAGAAAGTCACCTTGGGCAAGGGTAAAGCTCCTCTAGGCCTGTTTCCTGTCTGTGTATTTGGGATAAAGCCAATAGACCATTAGGGTTATTATTATTACTTTGTAATTTGACTGATTGATGGGGTCTCTCTCTGTCACCCAGGCTGGAGTGCAGTGGCATGATCAGAGCTCACTGGAGCCTCAAACACCTGGGCTCAAGCGATCCTCCTGCCTCAGCCTCCTGTAGAGCTGAGACAATTTAGGTGCTGCCCACCACCATGCCCAGCTAATTAATTTTTTTTTTTTCTTTTTTTGAGATGGAGTCTCGCTCTGTCACCTAGGCTGGAGTGCAGCAGCATGATCTTGGCTCACTGTAACCTCTGCCTCTTGGGTTCAAGTAATTCTCCTGCCTCAGCCTCCTGAGTAGCTGGGACTACAGGTTTGCGCCACCACACCCAACTAATTTTTGTATTTTTAGTAGAGATGGGGTTTCACTATGTTAGCTAGGCTGGTTTCGAATTCCTGACCTCAGGTGATCTGCCCGCCTCGGCCTCCCAAAGTGGCATAAGCCACTACACCTGGCCAGAAAAAAAACTTTTTTTTTTTAAGAGATGAGGTTTTGTTATGTTTCCTAGGCTGGTCTTGAACTCCTGGCCTCAGGCGATTCTCCTGTGTTGGCCTCCCAAAGTGCCAGGATTACAGGCATGACCCACCATGCCTGGTTACAGGATTTTTATTTTATTTTATTTTTTTTTGGTTTTTTTTTTTTTTTTTTTTTGAGACAAGGTCTCACTCTGCCACCCAGGCTGCCAGGCTGGAGTGCAGTGGTGCAATGATGGCTCACCATAGCCTTGACCTTGCAGGCTCAAGAGATCCTACCACCTCAGCCTCCTGAGTAGCTGGTACCACAGGCATGCACCACCACACGTGGCTATTTTGTTTGTAGAAATGGGGGTCTCTCTATGTTGCCCAGGCTGGTCTTGAACTCCTGGGTTCAAGTGATCCTCCCACCTTGTGTTTTTAATGAGTTTGGCACATGCATCCTGGTGCACTGTAAGAGCCTAGCAAATAGAAAGTGTTACTGGAATCATTTAGTGTGAAATCTTACAGCACCCACTATAATATCAGCACCAGGAAGAGGGGGATGTTTGTGCTCTGGGATATCCCAAGTGCCCAGAACAATGCCCGGCACATGTAGGTGTTTAATAAATACTTGCATACATGAATGAATCCTTCTCTACGTGGTAGATTTTTAAACACCCCAGGAAAGATAGTTCAGACTCCTTCCCTGGCGCAGCACAAAGCTTACCTTTCAGAGTAGCTACAGCCTCTCCCACTTGACGCAGGAGGAAAGCCCCGTCTTCCACGTCTTTCAGAGTAACCAATCGGCTGGCTGCCCTGGAGTCCTTCAAGTCTTCAACAAAGTCTTCCAGCTCGCTGCGGGAGCAAGGACAGCAGCACAGAGAGCTGATCACCGGGCCTCACAGAGGAAGTGCGGGGCCTAGTGCCGGTCTCAGCCTCTGATTTTGTATAGAGCCCAAGCCCCTCCCCTGCCCCTCCCCTGCCCCTCCCCTGCCTCTCCCCTGCCTCTCATGTGGTGGTGGTGGAGAGGGGACGCTCATCTTTAACAGTGGCTGGGAACATTTCGCAATGGTGTGAGGCAGGTACAAGGAGGTTTTTCTAGGGAATGTTCCACATTGGCCCAAGGGACGATTGTGCCTGGCTAACAGAGGACCCAGTCTTTATATTCAGTGGTGCTGATGTTAGCAGAAGGACGGGAGGGAGGGATAGGTGGAAGGAGGGGGAGGGTGGGGGGGTTGAGTAGATGAAGGCCAGGGGGCTGCCTGAACATCTACCGGCAGTTTCCGTCACCACCACAACGAAATACCGGCCCAAAATGTCAAATGCTAGTATGAGAAGCCTGAGTTAATCAATGTGGGCTCTTCGTCTTTACTTCCACCAACAGGTCGTCTCCCCCCTCTCTCTCTCTGTCTTTCTCCTCTTCCTGTCTTACCTCTCTCTCTCTCTCCTCCT